CACTGTCAGGGGGGGAGGTGTACCTACTGAGGGAGTGCCACACTGCCAGGGGTGGAGTGTACTTACTGAGGGAGCGCTGCACTGTCGGGGGGGAGCTGTACTTACTGAGGGAGCGCTGCATGTCGTGGGGAAGTACTGAGCAAGGGAGCACTGATTGTTTGACTTGCGACTCTGCTATGTGTACACCAGCGACATTCGAACAGTGAGTGCAGCTGTCTTTGCAAGCTGTACAATCTCTTCTTGTGACCATCTCTCTTTCTGTTAGTGCTTCCTGCAGGGTCTGTTAACCAAGGATCCCCGGCAGAGACTGTCCTGGCCAGCACTACTGTACCATCCCTTTGTGGCTGACCGCGTCGTCAGTGAGTGTCAAATACTTCACTAGACGGGCAGAGGAGAGAGAGAGGGAGATGGGAGAGTGAGAGAGAGTCAGAAAGTGGGTAGAGAGAGAGAGACAAGGACACCAATGGAGAAGAAAGGCAATTTGAGACAGATTGAGAGACAGAGCTAGTCGTGGAGCTGTCACAGACGTTAAATATTTTACTGGATTACGCAAAATTCCTCAATTTACACAGCACAGAGCAGGTTTCTCTATGAAACAATGATTACTGTTTGTAGTCAGAGTCATACAGCATGGAAACAGACCCTTTATCCCAACTCATCCATGCTGACCAGATATCCTAAATTAATCTAGTCCCATTTGCTAGCGTTTGGCTCATATCCTGCTAAATCCTTCCTGTTCATGTACCCATCAGATGCTTTTTAATTGTTATAAATATACCAGCCTCCACCACTTCTTCGGCAACTCATTCCATGCACTCACCACCCTCTGCATGAAAAACTTGCCCCCAGGTCCCTTTTCCCCTCTCACCTTAAACCTATGCCCCTCTAGTTCTGGACTCCCTCACCTGCGGTAAAAGACCTTGACTATTCACCCTATCCACGTCTCTCATGATGTTATAAATCTTTATAGGATCACCCCTCAGCCTCTGACGCTCCAGGGAAAATAGCCCCAGCCTGTGCAGCCTTTCCCTATAGGTCAAACTCTCCAACCTGGCAACATCCCTGTAAATCTTTTCTGCATCCTTGCAAGTTTCACAACATCCTTCCTAAAGCAGGGAGACCAGAACTGAACACAGTATTCCAAAAGCGGCCTAACCAATGTCCTGTACAGCTGCAACATGACCAACCCAACTCCTATACGTGACGCACTGACCAATAAAGGCAAGCACACCAAACTCCACCTTCACCACCCTGCCCACCTGCAACTCCACTTTCGAGGAACTATGAACCAGCACTCCAAGGTCTGTTTATTCAGCAACACTCCTTAGGACCCTACCATTAAGTGTATAAGTCCTGCCGTGGTTTGCCTTTCCAAAATGCAGCACCTGACAGTTATCTGAATTAAACTCCTTGGATGCACGGAAAGACTGGGAAGGCCTGAGTTCACTGAGATGATCCTCGTGGATTGTCAGGACTTGCTGCACCTTCATTTTTCCTTCTGCCAGTAGTTTCATTTACCCACAGGAGGCACAGAGCAACTGGCACACAACTTATGAAGTCTCTCGATTTATCGGTGAACAGCCACAACTTGCAGCAACCTATGAGGGGGAGATGAACTGGCTCTCTTGAGGCTTGTGGGTTCGTTTGATGGCAGTGTAAAGGTCATCTCCTTGCTGTTTCAAAGCCTGACCCAACGTTTGCATCCAGAAGCTGTTCAGCTACCCCAGAGCCAATCGTATTTTGCAATTGCAGTTGGCAGGCGGATTGTCTTTATCATCACCTACCTCTAGACCAATCAGCTCTTTGTTGCCAGCTGAATCTCCATTCAGACCACTGCCATGTTTGGAGTAACCTCCCCGATTTGAACAGGCAGCTGTGTAAGCACTGCTTACAGTGAGGGTCAGGCAACTGTCCTTGGAGTTTGAGGTAGCTCTTTTCCCCCACCAATCGAAAATACCTGAGAATGAAATGAGACAGTGTCTACATGGTGACGTCTCTGGTCTTTCTTTTCCCAGTCGTGGATGACACCCAGGATTGTAGTGTCGAGAAGCCATTCACCATCCAGGCCAGTCCCGAAACACAAGCCTTGAAGGAGCAGCAAGCGAAGGAACTGGCTCCCAAATCAGGACAGTCCAAAATTCTCAGGAAGGCCAGAGAGAAGATGCTGGAGGAATCCAGGAGGAAGGTGAGGACTGCAGGTAGACATGTTGAAATAGCAGCCCCTGAGACGGCCAGGCGCCCGCCGTCACCCAGCCCCTGAGACGGCCAGGCGCCCGTTAATCCAGAAACCCAGCTAATGTTCTGGGGACCCGGATTCGAATCCCACCACGGCAGATGGTGGAATTTGAATTCAGTAATTTTTTAAGAAGTCTGGAATTAAGAATCTGCTGATTGCCATGAAATTGTTGCCAATTGTCGGGAAAAACCCATCTGGTTCACTAATGTCCTTCAGGGAAGGAAATCTGCCCTCTTACCTGGTCTGGCCTACATGTGACTCCAG